TGAGCAATATTGAAATGTGTATTCCAAGATTTAATATCTTGCTCAAAATTGTTGTGTATATACTCCAGCAGTCTAAAATTAAGATTTTTGTGCTTCATACTGCTGGTCTTGCCATACTTGCCTTCGGCAGTTTTCAAACGAGGTTTTTCTGATATAAAAATGCCTTTTTTGGGATTTTCGTACTTACGGGATTTTTGGTCCCTGCAAGATTTTTGGGCCTACGGGATTTTTGGCCACACAGGATTTTCGGGCCGCGGGATTTTTTCTCCCACGGGATTTTATCCTGCACCCGTTCAGGGTATAGTCATTTCATTTTTGCTAAATAAATTTCATTGGAGTGAATGTCACCGTATCTTATTGGGCACCCCTGCGAGTAGACCAATTTCCCGATGTCCCCGTGAGCAACTATTCCTGCCTCTCCCTTCTTTCAATCAATTCAGATTTTTCATTGACAGTGATTCATGTTTATCGCCGTCCGGGTTTCTTGGGGTACAAAGACGTGTGGAACTCAAAGTGATAATCCTTTTCTTCATAGGCTGTCTTCTCCTGGAAAATTTGTTATTGGGAGGCGATTTAAATTACTTCTTTAGTATCCCTTTTTTCTTTCTGACGAAAATAGCCTTCTGTAAATGTAAGGTGTCCAAAAACGTCGATAAATGTGTACTGTATACTCGCTTGAAGCAATTCGATTGCCTTCCCCATCACGATCACCTGATAGGTTTTTTTGTTGTTTGATGTCGCCTAGCTGCGCAGTTGCATTTTTCATATTTCGCTTCAATTCTAGACGGCAGTTGAATATTCCGCGTGCTTCGGGGTTTCTTGATTATGGACATCATGATTGCTGCGGAGTCGTGAACGGATTGATTTGGTAGCTAGTGTAATTATTGCGAATTGATGCAATGACGGTATCAATTTTCGAAGCGTCCCTTGTTTTGATAAATTATTCTTGAAACCTGCTTGTCACAGGCATCCCCTATTTAAATTTAATTTCCACGTTTAACTATACACAGGAGAAATTTTGACTTTTATCGCGCACAGTAAGTAGTTGGTCATCGCTTAATAGTTTCTACGTATCTGCTGTAACTAGAAATGTACGCTCTACGTGCGAATCTTTTGAAAATGATCCGGTATTTTAACATGGGACTTAGAGGGTCTGTGACTTTTGAGTTCCAGACATTGATTCAGACAGGAACATGTTTCTTTCGGCTTTCAAGAAGTCTTTTGGATTTAAGGCCACTCTCTTATCAGGTCTATGATTGGAAGACCAAAAATCTCGACGTAAGTTTTGTATCTTGGTGTTTTTTTATTTGCTATGTGATAAACTGAAAGTTATGCTGTTATTGTTCGACGGATTGAAGTCTATGAACCTCACAGATATATTCAGCAGTCATCGGCCATGTTTCTTGCAAGAAGGAAAATTTCCTCGCCCCGTCTCTGTTCACTGCCTTTTCCAAGATATATTTTGTTGATTTTATTTTCGATTTGGAAAATATAATTTGGGACAGAAGCCGAGGAAATTAAACCGGGTTTCTTGGGTGAAGCATTCTTTCCTTTCATGCCGGGAAATCGTAATGCTTGTGTGAGCCGGCTTCCCAAAAGGAGGAAACAGGGAAGTTTTTTTTTTGCCTAACGCACTCTACTTGAGCCCGAACATTAGGCCGCTCTTTTTGTGTAAGCAGCGTCCGCTTTAAATCTATCGCCCAACGGAAGGAGCTCTTGTTCAAGTTTCGGGAAACGCCTTAGTCTGACTTGAACGTGGAAACGTTCGCACGCGGGCGGAAATTGAGCCTGCGGAACGTGATCAAACTGCGTGTTGTCGTCGCCAGTTGATAAAAGCCAAAAATTGTGGGTCTATTTTCGGAAGTGGGCTCCCTGCCGAAATCTGGCAGCGGGAATCCTCGCACGTCGCACCCATTGCTGTGTGCATTTACTGCCACGAAAAAAGAAGGAAATAAAAGCTGAGGAGAAAATGAATCTCCTCCTGCCGTATCGTAAACATGAGTGAAGTGGTGCGCAAGAATTACGAGTATCAGATTCACAAAGCTTGAAACCACAGGAAACAGGAAGAAAATGTGCACCTTGTTCTAGGACAAGCTGAGAATAAATGGCTTTACATTATTTAAATGTGTCGTGACGATCTGCGATGTTGTATTAATGTTCGCTCATGGTGAATCGTAATTGTAGCAATTTCTGACTTTTCACCTTATTTTCACAAATCAGAAACTCGCTGTGGCTCTTGTGTTTTTAGCCTAGCTCACCGTTTTCCACGAAGAAGTAATGGAGGAAAAAATCTCTCTTTGAAAACAAAGCTGACATTAAATATAATTTTTGTGGGGTACATTCTGAACGTTTTGTTCGAATTAAGGATGCTTCAAAGCCGAATTGAGTCGGGATTTCTGAACCGTGATTTTGACATTGATTCTTGCAGAAGGAATCCCTCTTGTGACATACAAATTTAAATTCGAAAATATCATCTTACGAAACAAAACGTGATGCCGGAAAATCTGGTTACAACGAAGCTGCAGCGAAAAAGTTCATTATAAAGATAACTTCGTTGCACAGTATATCAATTTCAATAGCATTGTTGCTGATAGGAAGGAGCCCGAAAAACGAATTTGTGTCGACTAATGAGTTGTTGCAAGGAAATTATTTCATATTATTTCTGTGGCGAAGCTGATAGTGATCGAGATGCCCGAGGAACATTACTTACTGGGCAATTCTACGACAGATCCATCTAATTTTTCGCTAACAACGCATAATATTTATGAAGAAGTTGGTGTTAAAAAGATTGTTGTGGTGACAAATTTACTCCTTGTGCTCGATTCAACCATCGGTGGACTTTCGTTGTTGTCGTTGTCCCAAGGCCTGAATGTGTGGGCTTCGTTTTTTTCTTCTTTTTTTTTTGTGAAAGCTTGACTCTGTATTTAATTAAAAGTTTGCTGATAAGATACCATTTTATCATTTCCTTTACATGCATCGCACGCCTGCTCTAGATAGATTCCCATATTGTACCGTTTGTTGTTGTTTTTTTTCGGCTCGCGGAGTTGAACTGGAACTCCACGATTTTTGAGGAATCTGGAAGCTTATACCCTCCACGAGGGAATGTTCTCAAGTTTTTGAAAATTCGCGTATGATCTCGCTGCATAGTTGAACAACCGGGGTTTTTGATGCTACCTCACCTTCCTTCCTTCCTTCCTTTCTCGCGTGGGGATGAATGAACGCTGGAGGGGTGTTTTGCTGCCGGCAAAACGCGCTGGACCGTTGAGAAGACTCGTTTATCTTTTGAATCGCATCTTTTCAACTCATCCACCCAATGTGTTCCGTCTTGTGCTCTTGATGGAGCGCTTTATGCTGACTAGACAAGGAACTAATCGTTCAGCGAGGATGTATATATATATATATATTTTTTTTTTTTTCTCTTCTCTTTGGTCGGTGAACGTCAATGTCGAATTTCACAGTATCCTGGGGAAGAGAGTGCCTGTGGTAATTTTTCATCCGTGAAACGACAGCTGACAAGATGTCATTATCACCTGGATTATTATTTTTTTTGCCTTTCGATATTCAACGCGTTTAGTGCGTGCAACAGATGTTTTCCATGTTTATCCGATTCTTGAGTTTTGCGGAAAGTTGATGGACGTCCATATTTTTTGCTCGTTGAAGCTTGGACGAACAATATTGTTTTTAGGAAGAGAACCAGCCAGAATTTCGATTGGAAACCGTGAATTGATATTGGTAACTTATTTCAAATCTTCCACCGACATTGAAGTCCTGTATTTCCCTTGAGTCACTACGGTATCTCTTAATTTTTAATAATGCGTCGCAAAACTTATTTCTTCTGAACTGTATTTAAAAAATGTTCCTCAAGTATTAGTCCATGGTGTTTTTTAAAATTTACCGTTTTCCATTTGTATCCTGTTCTTGATTTTGATTGATTTTCGCGAAATGTTGATGAAAGTAAATTATTTGCGTGGTGAAGCTCTGACGAACAGTATTTGAAAAATAAAAACCAACTGCAATTTCTCGAGGAAACCGTGAATCGGTGTTTGAAATTTTCTATTAATTTCTTATAAATTATTTCGTCAACCTTACAATATTTTCCTTGAGTCACTGCAATATCTTAGTTCTGAATCTTCTGTCAAAAATACGCGCTTCTGAGCTGTATTTGAGACATTTTCGTTGCCTTGAAGAATGAGTCCAGGATGTGGTTTAAGACTCAAACCACATAAAGAAGTTCAGAAGTCAGGATTCAAGTTTGCTCGTGTCAATCCATCAAGATTCGATGTCGAAATTTTCCAATCCGAATTCAATCAAAATTTTTGAGTTGAATGCATTGTTGAATGAAAGTTTTTGGTCGAAATGCGCCTGAAAATGTCTGGTCGAAAGTGATTCCGATCTCGAAATTTCCGATTCCAATTTCATTTGAAATTGTTGCGTGAAATAAATTTTTATGTAAGAATTCGAGGTGGAATGCTATTACTTCAAGTACTGTATTTTTTATTTTACTCGGAGATCTATTTTTAATTGTGGGCGTCTTTCTGAAATGTGGCAGCACTGAAACGTTTTCAAAAAAATAGGTCATCACGGAATTTTTGAAACGATCGGAACAAATTGATTTCTTGTGTACGACAAAGCCTGAAATGTTGTATGGCATGCAAGTATATTCCGTAATTTTCCATGTATGAAGATAGCTCAAAGAGAGTTAAACTTTTTTTAGCCGAAAAAAAAATCCTAGTGAAATTGAGTTTTAGCGGATGATATCGTAATTCATCCCAAGGCAAGTGGCGAAGACGTGTCCGCACTTGACGCATATAATAAAATTGAAAGTTGAAAATATTTTCGTCGCGCACTAACTTCTTCGATTGCCGTTGATATTTTGAAAACTTTCTCAATGTTCATGTAAAATGAGGTACAGTATTATCACGTCAAGTCGGCGCCTGAACGACAGATTCATTACGACTGCTGATTTCCTATTTTTCTTTCCTATTTTTTCCTTTTTTTTATTAGGTATCAGACAACTGCAGTGTATCCTGCTCAAAATTTCGCTGCTAGTCGGCATCGAAGTGCACGAGAACGTGGCTTTCGTGGACTTGATAGAGCCGCCGGCCGACCAGACCAACGAGCGTGAGTATCTCGTTTTCGTGACCCCTCATTTGATGGATTAGTTTCAGTTGTGTAAGTGCTTGGTTATACATCGACTTGCAATGTTTTCTCTCCTGTTTTCTTACCAAACTCGGCCTATCGGCCCTACTGACCTTAGCGCCTGCTGTCGATACTTTCCCCGCTTATCCGTTCCATTGGTGCTGTACTGATGTGTGATCTATCTACGAACGATGATCTGCATTTGTGCGCAGTGAGCTTGATTTGAATATAAGAGATTAATTACGGTGTCAATTAGTGTCGAATGGAGTTTCCCTCTTGAAGATTCCATTGTGCCCGACGATTTCTCGTATTTACTCGAACGGAAGCCGTCATCAATTATAAGGCGTGCATTCAGATTTTTGAATCTCTTTTGTTCTTAGGACATCCTATATATTATTTGAATTTTTGTTTCTACAATATGGAATTACGTTTTGCGAGACCTGTTTATGAGGGAATCCGTGTAAAGAAATTTTCCGGGTCAGGAAAAATGTTTTCGAGAAACCCGCTGTGGAGTGTAGAGAAAACCCATCACAGAAAGAGTTCAACTTTGATGAAAGTTGCAACGTGATTAAAAAAATAGATTAGTTGGTATGAGTTTGTTGTCCGAAGAACAAAACTTTTTGGCACGTTCGCGTGGAATTTTAAATGTTTGTAGAATTTTTGTCCTTATCACGGCTTCGCTCTGACTATTCAAGTTTCAGCAGATGACTCGGCTTTTTTTTTTAATCCTATGAGTTATGTTCGAGAAATAAAACGATGACAAGCAGAACCTGAACAGAACCGGATAATGTACCGAATTAGCTGATGACCGGGTGATTGCTGATGAATGCCGAGTTACATTTCATCCTATTTTCTTGATACTTTTTTTTCAATTTGAGCACGACTTCCAAATCAGCGAAATTTGGGATTTGCAGATTTAATCTTATTGTACAATAGGCTGAGAAAAGCTTGACCTGTTTCGAAGTGGTGGATCACATACTAGAAAGGAACCAATTTAATTGTTTTGTTTGCTGCAACAATCGGCAGGGGGGAAACGTCCATCCATGTCAAGGTACTGTCGGTTTTGTAAGCATGTCCGAAGTGGGTTGCGATTTTTCGAAATGCTTGGCGACCGCATAAGATAAGTCCTCATTGACTCTTTTCGAATCGCATCCACGCTGCGAGAAAAATGATGGATGTGCAACGGGAATGAAGCGGGTGTCGTGTTGAATGCTCGCGTGACGTCCCAAGGCCCGGTCAAAAATAAAACGAAAGAAAACAATTTCTCCGCGAAATGCAAAGCCAAAAAATTTGTGATGTAGATGCAAGACGTGTCTCATGGATGTTTGTATTTTTTATTCTTTTTTTTTTGGAGCAGGAATCGGTTGGAGAGCATCTGTGATCCCGAGTGACGACCCTGTGTCGCAATATGAATTCGATGTGCTTGTCGGCGCTGACGGCAAACGCAACACGTTACAAGGTCAGTTGAATAAACATTTTTGTTTCCGTTCTTCTTTCATTCCTGGCGCGGAAAAAAAGAATGCCATGAAGAATCACCAGCCTCGGAAGCCGTGAAAATTTGAGGCGAAGTGTTGCTTCTTCACGCATGTTTTATTCAATGCGTTGCGCGTTATTTACGACGCAGAGGGAAAATGTACCGCTGCACGCGGACTTGTTCCGAATTGCTGATTATTTCCGCGCCTCTGGGTGCCCTCGGGTGGGTGTGTAGTTTTTTCCCCGATAATTAAATCAAGCGAGTCGATTGTTCCTCGCGTTTTAACATGGGGAATCCATTAGAGGGTTTGATTAGTTGACACGTGTTTCAAGGGAAGTAAAGTTCCAGGGTCGACAATGCTCGAGGGAAGCGAGCAAAAGTACTTGACGATGGATTTCTGTAACGTTCAAGCGATGTCAGTGAAGGATTACGTCCCGGGGCGGAGATTGCCGTGCACTTGTCAATTACTCTAGTACTCAACGCTAACATTTTTTCGTTTGTAAATTTTTTTTTTCCCGCATGCATGCAGGGTTCAGACGGAAGGAATTCCGTGGCAAACTGGCCATTGCGATCACGGCGAACTTTATCAATCGACACACGGAAGCCGAGGCCCGCGTGGAGGAGATCAGCGGTGTGGCGTTCATCTTTAATCAGAAATTCTTTAAAGATCTCAATGCCGACACCGGGATTGACCTCGAGAACATCGTGTACTACAAGGATGAAACGCACTATTTCGTCATGACGGCGAAAAAACACAGCTTGATCTCAAAGGGCGTCATTCAGCGGGTAAGAATTTCACATATGCTGGCGAACCTCTTTTGAGTCGAACTTGAAGGGACCAGCGGGAAAATTTTGAGTTACGGAGGTTTTGGGTTTGGGAAACACGCATTTTTGTTTGAGGGGAAAGCGAGAAGAAAGGTAGGAAATTGTAATTGGTGATATTCTGGGCCTGAAATTGTTTCTTGAATGAGCTGGTAGGATGCTGAATTTGTATGCAAGGATTCTTTTGCCTAATCAGTCTTCCTTTCAAAACGCATCTTGTTCTATTTTTATTGCTTTTCCCTTTCTTGTGTCGAAAAAATAATAGCCAAAAAGCCTCTGGAAAAATCGAGTTATGAAGGTTTGAGGGAAGCCTTTGAGTTAGAGAGATTTTTAATGATCTGTTCGTAAGCGAATTCAGACAGGGACTCGCGAAAAATTGGAAATCGGGAGGTATTCGAAATACGAAGGTTTGAGTTATCGGGGTTCAATTTGATTCTCGGTTCCCCTCTGATCATTTTCGAATTTTACCGCTTTTTCATAGAGATTTAATCTATTCACCTATTTTTTTGAGTTAATGTAAAGGCTGTTTTGCATCGGGGCATGATGTACTTCTGAATACTCGATGGTTGCTCGTATCGTTATACTGTACATAGATTGAAAAGGAATATTAAACGGCTGGAAAAATTGCCGCTTCCGTGAAACCTAGTGTCCAAATTCTAATCCGGAAATTTGGACACTGGGCTGATCCGGAAATTTGATGGCGTGAAATCCCGTAGATGATTATCTATTAATGTTATGTATCTCTGTTCGCTTCACGTGGTATGTCAGTCCGGTGTCGTCTGAATCACGAACTAAAGAATTCAATAAAAAAAACTGTATGAAAAACGATTGATACATTTAATGATGTGTGACCTAATTTGGAGGATATCGTAGAATGGAGGTCTTCGGACGTTTATGGAAATATGTCACTTTCTCTATGTTGTACTTACCATAAGCTTGTGTTTTAAAAAGTGATTTTTCAATTGTGATATTTTCTGGTTGAACTTTTTTTTTTATCCAAGGATTACCCAGATACTGCCTTGCTATTGGCGCCTGAGAATGTGGACCGGGAAGCGTTATTGGGTTACGCACGCGAAGCAGCTGACTTTTCAACGAACTACCAACTGCCAAACTTGGAATTTGCCGTGAACCATTTTGGGCAACCCGACGTGGCAATGTTCGACTTCACATCGATGTATGCTGCGGAGAACGCGTGCAGAGTTGTGGAACGACGTGGGCACAAATTACTCATGGCGCTCGTGGGGGATAGTCTTCTTGAGGTGAGAGAGAAGTTATCTTTTACCGGTGCGTGTACGGTACTATACGAATTTTCCGAGTGGAAAATGTGCTCCAAAATTTTCAGATATTGAAAAATGAAAGTACGAAACGGCTCGCCTTTCAGTTTTAAGCCACATTCCTCTCCTGATTATCCCGCGAAACTGCTCGAAATCGAGAGCAGAGCGATTTTCGAAGCGCCAAATTTGCCCTGGGTTGTGAAAGCCTCACAAAAACACCTGTACGCTCGAACAAAAAAGTGAAAGCTTTTTTCTCGGAATCGAGAGCTTTTTGTAGGAGTCGATTTTCTTTTCTCGGTGAAAACGCGCTTTACTCTTCTGAAGTATTCATTATGAAGAACATGGCAGCGTTCGTTTCAAATGGAAAGTTTATGTTCAGTGGGTCCTCGACATGCGGACTTTATTAGTGATAGGAGCTTTTCCCTATGTTGGAGCATCCATATTTCAGATAACGTTTTGCCATAGGCTTCAGTGGGAACATATGTAATTGGTTCTTCTATGTTCTCAGTAAAAATTAGGAAGGAAGTCCCCAAAAATTGAAAAAACTTGTTCTCAAGTGCAAGATTAGGGGAATAACTGCTGAAGAAAACCTTGCCATAGCTGATCTTTCGGCATTGAGAGGAACTCAAGAAGTAAAGAAGAAGAACAATCTGAGCTATACTGCCCGTACAAGTAGAAACTCTGATTGAAAAAAGCACAAAATTTGTATGCTTTTGATTATGAATTAATTTTATAATTGAATTTATTATATTTTTCGTGAATATAAATAGCTCAATTTTTCAAGAGATGTCGAAATTCAAAAAAGTAAAATTGTTCTGTAAATGTGGGGAAAAGTGTGTGTATCTCGAGACGTTGTCCAGATTTCGGGGCGGATTTCAAGTGTCTCTCGCTCGAATCGTCCTTTCGTTGGGTTCCCGCTGTACTTTCATAATGTTTTGACGTAAAAAATGAAACGTTTTGTCTTGTCCGTTGTCCAGCCATTCTGGCCGACTGGGTCCGGCTGTGCACGTGGCTTTCTGGGCGCTTTCGACGCCGTGTGGATGATGATCTCATGGGCGGATGATGCGAAGACGGCTCTTCAGGCGATGGCGGAGAGGGAAACAATTTACCGGCTTCTCGCTCAAACGACTCCGGAAAACTTGTCCAAAGATCTCAACTCGTATTCGCTCGACCCGTCGAGTAGGTATCCAAATTTTGTGAAGAATAGCGTGCTTCCGTTTCAAGTCCGACACCTGTACGGCACGGATAATCCCGATGCCCTCACGATTATCAATGCCCCCGCCGTGATTGAAGCGCCGAGGAAGAAACGCAGGCGTGGTAAGGTTTTTTTCCTTTCTTCTTCACCGTACTGAAAAAAATTATTCTCTTCCAAGAAATTTCTACTGTGACATTCGTGATTAGATTTCGTTACCTGCTGGCTTTGCTGATTTTTCCCTCAATACAGTTTCTTATTCACGCGACCGTGAGCCACAATTCAGAAAAAATTCGTGTGAAAACTTGCGTGTAGCGTAAAATCGAGTAAAGACGGCACTTGAGTACTTAAGGCATGTTTCTCATTGAGAAGGTTGTAATTCAATTAAAGTGAAAATAAATGTGGTTGATTTTGTGAATATCGAACTGTGTTTTTCAACTCCGAGTTTAACTCGATTTAAATTTCAGAATTGAAGTAGGATATTTATCGTTCAAGTTTTTATGTACTGTGTTGTACTTCGGAATGTATTCTTCAATAATTGTCAATTTAATTCCCTCCCCTGTGACGCACACCGTCTTTTTCCCCTCCATAGATTTGAGAACGAAGGTGCGCTTTGTACTCGAGTAGATACGATAGCTAACGACAAAGATCGTGTTACAGATTCTGTGGTTCATCCGAATGCGTTACTGGAGTGGCTGAAGAAACAAGTGGAGCCGTATGGGGACATCTTGACAGTGAATGACATGTGTCTTTCGTTCAAGAATGGCATGGCCCTTTGCTGCATCATCCATCGGTGCGTAGCGTTTGCGGTTTGATGAGGTGAAAACGGCAAACATTTTATTTTTATGTCGCCTTCTCGTGGCACATAGTTATCGTCCGAACTTGGTCAATGTCCGGAATCTGGACCCGGAGAATGCAGCTGGCAATAATCAGCTGGCGTTTGATTTGCTTGAGGACGAGATGGGAATCCCACCTGTGATGACTGGAGCCGAAATGGCGAAGTGTGACGTGCCTGACAAATTGACTATGGTTTCCTACTTGTCTCAAGTTTATGAGTCCTTCCGACGAGAAATTCCTCACGTTGTTCGTTCGCTGGAGGTGAGCTTTGACGATGGTTTTGTTCGATTTGCATTAATTATTGGGATTTGTATCCGCGTCAGCGAGGGAAAATTGGTGAAAAGTAACTTTTTCATTTTTGAATACGGTACTTCAGCGTACACGCGTATAATCTTCTTGGGTGGAAACTCCTTGTCTGGAAAGCAGAATGCATTTTAGAACGGCGCGTGTCCGGAAAATAATTTTCCAAAGCGGGAGAAAAAAAAACGACATTGCGAGTGAACTGACGAAGGAAGCACATAAAAGCACAATAAAAGTAGTAATACAGGGAGACTTACTGGAAAGGTTTAAATATTTTATAATAATGTTCAGCATAGATAAACTTTCAAGGAAAACTAACCGCATTGCATCACTAAGGCTTTGACTTGAATATACTTTTAAGAGTTCGTGCCGTTCGGTTCTAATGCCGTTTCAGACGCACGCAGCTTCGGACACGCGCTGTTTCAAGGGCGTGCTGTTTTGGGACGCGCTCAGTTGTTTATTCACGGGCCTATTTTTGGAGAAAAGGCTCTATAATTGTGTTAATTTTTTTTTATTCTTCTGCAGTTGGAGTCGGCGGGTTCATTAGACAGTATTCCAGATACCGCTAGTGGAAAAAGAGTCTCCACTCCTGGACAGCGTCTCAGTCTTCTCAATAAAATATCCCGCTACAGTTCCCAGCAGCAACATGCCTCAAGAAGTGCGAAGCTTATTGATCGCGCGTCATCAGGGGAATTGTTCAGTCCTCCTTCAACTTCCCAGCCTACTCTCAACAGCAGTAAAAAAGCAAGGAAACGTCGATCAGGAGTTGGAAAGGATATTGTCTCGGTAAGTTAAATTTTTTTATTGTTATGGTGGTGGTGGTGCTTATATTGAAGGACCAAAAAAAAATAAATATATATATATATATACATTATATATGCGGTATATATGATCCGGGTTTTGGACTTCTGCAGGACCTAATGTCTCTGGCGACTAGCGTAGCGTCGTTGTTCTGACGTCGTTGGAGTTCCAAAATTAATTTTTATTCCCCAAGTTTATTCAGTTGCGTTTTCTTCTGATATCCGAAATGGATCACTCGAGTGATGCTGAAAATGAATGAAACATATTGTATTGTTCTTGTACGTGCGTACAGTACTTCACCTTTTCTGACGTCAATTGGATGAGCCCCGTTCTTCATCATCCATGAACATTATCATTTTTTGATAGCATCTGCATTTTAAAAATGTATTCAAAACTGCACCAGTGAGGTTTTTGTTCGTACTTATTCATACGGCGGGACCGGTTTGGCTTCACGACGTTGATTTTCCTTCATGCTCGATTCTTTTTCTCGCTGCGTGATTCTTCTTCCGATTTTTGGATTCTGAAAAAAATACCAAATAAAAGCATGGAAAAAGCGACAGGGAACGTTTCGAGAAATCAATGCAGTTGCTGCGTGGTTGGGACTCGGGAGGGCGCGAGGTCAGACTTGCAGACAAGGTGCCCGAAATGGAGGACTTCACGCTGTTCTTGTATCGAAAAACAGCGACAGACTTTGAGGACCGAGTCCGCGATCTTGAATCGAAGCTCTTCTATCCCGTAAGAAGCGGAGATGTACGAGGATGCGTTTTGTGTTGACCGCCTTATTATTATTTTTTTTTGCGTTTGAACTTTTGTGCCATCCTGATTTTGCGACTGATGCGAGATACGTCAATTGGATTGGAGCTTGAGTTTGATCCAGCGTCTGAAGTGCCGTCCTTGATGTTTTGGATGTGTTTTGCTCATCCAGTACTTGTACAGCTTTTTCTCGTACAGAGGGTTGGACAAAAGTTAGCACTCACTCCTTTCGTACGTGATAGAAGCTTTTTCCAGAAAATTGCCTGACCTTCGTCTTAAAAATCATCTGTATTCATATCTAACATTTAAATAATATTACACTTGAATAATCTGCGCCTCAGCGAACAGGAAAACATGCTGCACAAACGTAAATTTTCAATAACATTTCGGTCACAGGAAATATATGACAACGGACTCCCGTCAGATGTCCATTTTTCTCTATATCAGTCAAGAAAATTGGCATTTTAAAAATTGATAGAAGAAAAAGCCTGAGCAGTTTTATGAAACTTGAAAATATGTTTCATTATCTGATGTCAACGTACGAACATTGCTTTCCTTCGAAGAAAGTTCTCCATTGTTGTAATTTTGGGCTGCCAAGAATATCCCCTAGTCTTCCGTTTTTCACTGTACGGTACTGCGATAATTATAGCCTTCGCTGATGGCAGAATTGACAACCAACTTACAATCGATTCAATTGTAACCGACTGGTTCGATGCATTACTCAAATCGCTCCCTGAACTTATAGTATACATTGACCGGTGCGTATGAACATACTCGTTTTCTGATTTCCCGAGTAATGCTTTATTGCCTATGGTTTCCTTGAACATTTTCCTGAAAATTCTGCATTCGGAATATCGTATTGTGTCTCCCTGAAAATACTAATCCGTTTGGATGATTTGTTATGTGCGACCTCAGGTTTGACTCGTCCATGTGAGAGTTGTGAACTCCGAATATCCCGGAATGATCTCTTCTCTTTGCATGCTACAGCTTCTGTCTCTTCCTGGAAAAGCATGGTCTACTTTTGTTAACGAAGTGTAGAGTCCTTTGACCTTTAGTTCACTGTTCTTCTATTTGAAGAGTTACTTAAATCAACGACGCCTTTTTTTTCCAGGATCGAGAAGCGCGGAGGTCGAGGGCAAATGCTTATGCTAAGACGACTGAAGACGATGTGGCTGTGCTTGATGCCAAGGTCCGACACCTGGAATCAAAGCTTATGGTAAGCCAGGTTTTATTTTTAGAACGTGTCACGGGTACTGGGTTCGCTGCCCACAATTGCGTACCTGAGCATTCGTCCACTCGTGTACCTGAAAGGGGTTTGACGAAGCTCATCGTTCGTCGATTATTTAATATTGTGAACAAATTGAAAACACCTTATTCCTGAAATTACTGTTTCGCTCGCTGAGAATTCAGCGACTCAATCTGGAATACACATGGTTTTTATTTTTCTCCCGGATATTTCTGTGTCGGTTATCTCCGTTTGAGTTCATGCCTTGGGCGCAAATCCTAAGATTGTACCGAGAAGCTTTGAAACGTCTATAATGCGCTTTACTATTTTGTTGTTGTTCCATCTTATGCTTGAGGCATGAGTCTGGATAAACTATAAGGAAAACCTAGAAGCGGGTCTCAGGGTATATCTAAATACTGTATGATCCGAAGTATCAATGACTCGTGTTGTTTGTGCATTGCAGTCGCCGACGAGGAATCGGGCGCAGAAACCAAAGGACTTGGTGCGTGCTATCGGGAAGCTCGAGCCCGACGATTGGAACGTTAAAAAAATTCAGAACAAGATTGACGATCAGAAAAAAGTCCCAATTTTGTGTTCCGCTGAAGAGGAAAGAAAGGTGCCAAAGTGGACGAAGGAAATCTTCCAGGAAAAGGTCAGTGTTATGTCTTCATAAATTGGTGTTTTGTAGAGTAATCTGTTTTTTGGATTTGCAATAGCGTATTTTTTNTGTCGGTTATCTCCGTTTGAGTTCATGCCTTGGGCGCAAATCCTAAGATTGTACCGAGAAGCTTTGAAACGTCTATAATGCGCTTTACTATTTTGTTGTTGTTCCATCTTATGCTTGAGGCATGAGTCTGGATAAACTATAAGGAAAACCTAGAAGCGGGTCTCAGGGTATATCTAAATACTGTATGATCCGAAGTATCAATGACTCGTGTTGTTTGTGCATTGAAGTCGCCGACGAGGAATCGGGCGCAGAAACCAAAGGACTTGGTGCGTGCTATCGGGAAGCTCGAGCCCGACGATTGGAACGTTAAAAAAATTCAGAACAAGATTGACGATCAGAAAAAAGTCCCAATTTTGTGTTCCGCTGAAGAGGAAAGAAAGGTGCCAAAGTGGACGAAGGAAATCTTCCAGGAAAAGGTCAGTGTTATGTCTTCATAAATTGGTGTTTTGTAGAGTAATCTGTTTTTTGGATTTGCAATAGCGTATTTTTTTGCATCACCTGTGGCGAACCATTGACTTCTGCCCAATTCTAAAGTTCACCTTTCATTTTTTTGTCTTCTGAGGACCGTAAACGTTTGCTGAAGTACATTTTTCGGACTGTTCATTTTGTCGTAATCTTTTTATGTCAAGTTTTCATGCAATTTTTGCACTATTCTTCCACGGTGTGAAATCAATGAAAAATTCCTATCGACTGGGGCATTTCCGTGTACCATTTCTTAAAAAGCTCTTGTGTAACGAATACTGCTAATCTTCGATGATGATTATAATTTTTTTTTATTTCTGAGAAGACGGTCACTCCAGCTGGCTTTTATTGCTTTATGCTTATTGAGATCTGTTGTTCAGACAATTTTCTGATTGTTGATGGCATTCTTGTTGTTGACGTAGTTGGTTAAAGCGAAGAAGAAAGTTGAAGAAGACGGTCACTCCAGCTGGCTTTTATTGCTTTATGCTTATTGAGATCTGTTGTTCAGACAATTTTCTGATTGTTGATGGCATTCTTGTTGTTGACGTAGTTGGTTAAAGCGAAGAAGAAAGTTGCTGGTGATAGCTCGGAAGATTCTGGGTCGAGTGGCAAAAATCCGCGATGTCCTCCACAATTTGATTCCCAGCTGAAATTGTTGGAAAAGAAACTTCGAGAAGGATCGACGATGGAAGTTGGTCAACGCGGTGCTAACAAAGTTTCTGCCATGGCTGAACAACTGGCGTCTAAGCTCGACCACAAAGCAGCGAAAGACCCGAAACCACTTCAGCGAAGCGTGAGTTTCTTTTCTTTGATGTGGGATGAATTTTTTTCTGCCTTGAAATATTTGAAAACGTTTTTTGATTGCTTGACATTTCGCGCAGCGACAGTTTGAAATGTAAAACTTTATGCTGAGAAATAACAAATCTGTTAGAGTGTCAATTTCTTGCATATTTTTGTGCCGTATTGCATACCACTTCGAGTCATCGAATCAATTGATTCACAAGATGAATTAGTAATTTTAAAGCTCATTTTGAAGCACTTGAAGTTTTCGATGAAATGGCTGTAACTAGGGATTTAGCTGCTTTTACACCTTCCCAAGCTGTATAATTTTCCTGAAGTCTCGCAAATTTTCGAGTTCTCATCTTTCTGATTTTTAATTCTCGGTATACATTGTGCGAATTTTACTACTGCATTACAGTATCATGCGGTACTCATACTCAATACTGTATTTAAATTGAATAGACGTTTGTGAACCTTGTCCGTGAATTACAAGTTTCATCTATGGAATACGACGCAGTGAATTTATTCAACTTCGCGTTTTGCCCCGCAGAATTCGAAAACCGGACTGGTTTTCTCTGTGCCGAAGTCCGACTCCGAGAAGTGTCACTTCTGTGGCAAAAGAGTTTATTTGATGGAGCGCCATTCAACGGAAGGGCGGTTCTTCCACAGAGGCTGTTTCCGTTGCGAGTATTGCGGCACGGTGCTGCGACTAGGTGAGAAACATGAAAGCAAGAACACTGGCATTCTCATATGCTTGGAAAAGAACTTTGTCTGGGAGCCAAGCTTCAATTATGTTCTGTTATCACGTCGTAAACATATTTTCTTTGAATAGTTTTCAGATTCAGTTTTATTACCAATTGGCCTTATTTCACCTAGCGTGAGAGAGAATCAATGCGGAAGGCATATTCTTGCTTCATTTGCGAATACAGTACTTTTACGATGGATTTTGTGCATTTGGTTTGATAACGGGATTCATTTGCCCTGATGATCCAATATTCAGAATTCGATCCAACGGATTGATACAGGGTTCAAGAATGATTGAAAAATGCATTAATGGATTACACAAATTTCTGCTAATCTTGGAAGATATTTTCGATAGCCGATCAAAGATGAATATATATAAACGATCAATTTTAAATTGTTCGTACCTTTTAATTTTCCATCACTATGTTGAAACCCGGCGAAGTATAATCTCCGTTATACTGCGTTTGGTGTTCTTTCTATAGAATATTTTCCAGCTGTTTTCCTATATATTTTTATTTTTTCCCTCTATTCCGCATGATTAAATATTACGGCTTATTTTTCTAACAGGAAACTACGGATTCGAGCGCGATGATACTGGTGGTCCGGGGAGATTCATGTGCATGCAACATTATCTCTACGGTCCTCCTGGTGCTTCCACGGGTCTCAAACGGAATTGGAAGCGGAAGGCCGACGAAATCGAAACGCTTGCCAAGGAAAACTTTCCACCCGAGATTTACGTACGCAAGTCCGAGAAAGCCGACGAGATCCTGGGAACTGGCATCATCGTTCCTCCGTCAGTGCCGTCGTCATCGGATCTTGTTGANTTTCTGCCTTGAAATATTTGAAAACGTTTTTTGATTGCTTGACATTTCGCGCAGCGACAGTTTGAAATGTAAAACTTTATGCTGAGAAATAACAAATCTGTTAGAGTGTCAATTTCTTGCATATTTTTGTGCCGTATTGTATACCACTTCGAGTCATCGAATCAATTGATTCACAAGATGAATTAGTAATTTTAAAGTTCATTTTGAAGCACTTCAAGTTTTCGATGAAATGGCTGTAACTAGGGATTTAGCTGCTTTTACACCTTCCCAAGCTGTATAATTTTCCTGAAGTCTCGCAAATTTTCAAGTTCTCATCTTTCTGATTTTTAATTCTCGGTATACATTGTGCGAATTTTACTACTGCATTACAGTATCATGCGGTACTCATACTCAATACTGTATTTAAATTGAATTGACGTTTGTGAACCTTGTCCGTGAATTACAAGTTTCATCTATGGAATACGACGCAGAGAATTTATTCAACTTCGCGTTTTGCCCCGCAGAATTCGAAAACCGGACTGGTTTTCTCTGTGCCGAAGTCCGACTCCGAGAAGTGTCACTTCTGTGGCAAAAGAGTTTATTTGATGGAGCGCCATTCAACGGAAGGGCGGTTCTTCCACAGAGGCTGTTTCCGTTGCGAGTATTGCGGCACGGTGCTGCGACTAGGTGAGAAACATGAAAGCAAAAACACTGGCATTCTCATATTCTTTGAAAAGAACTTTGTCTGGGAGCCAAGCTTCAATTATGTTCTGTTATCACGTCGTAAACATATTTTCTCTGCAGAGTTTTCAGATTCAATTTTATTACCGGTTGGCTTCATTTCACCTAGCGTGACAGAGAATCAATGCGGAAGGCATATTCTTGCTTCATTTGCGAATACAGTACTTTTACGATGGATTTTGTGCATTTGGTGTGATAACGGGATTCATTTGCCCTGATGATCCAATTTTCAGAATTTGATTCAACAGATTGATACAGGGTTCAAGAATGATTGAAAAATGCGTTAATGGATAACACAAATTTCTGCTAATCTTGGAAGATATTATTTTCGATAGCGGATCAAAGATGAATCTACATAAACGATCAATTTCAAATTGTGAATACCTTTTAATTTTCCCTCACTGTGTTGAAACCCGGCGAACTATAATTACCGTTGTACTGCGTTTGGTATTTTTTCTACAGAATATTTTCCAACTGTTTTCCTATTTTTTTTCCCCCTCTATTCCGCATGATTAAATATTGCGGCTTATTTTTCTAACAGGAAACTACGGATTCGAGCGCGATGATACTGGTGGTCCGGGGAGATTCATGTGCATGCAACATTATCTCTACGGTCCTCCTGGTGCTTCCACGGGTCTCAAACGGAATTGGAAGCGGAAGGCCGACGAAATCGAAACGCTTGCCAAGGAAAACTTTCCACCCGAGATTTACGTACGCAAGTCCGAGAAAGCCGACGAGATCCTGGGAACTGGCATCATCGTTCCTCCGTCAGTGCCGTCGTCATCGGATCTTGTTGAACGTGTTGATGGTGGCGGTGCGGGTGAGACGCCGCCTGCAGTGGCTCAGGCGCCAGCCGTAGTGGCTGTGCGGAAAAGTGATCCTCGGCGACTCCATCGTGTCACCACGCCTGAAAGGATCGAGTTTGAGAATTCGATTTTCGTCCCGGAAGCACCGTCGTTTCATGGGGCTTCCGAAGAGGAGTTATCCGAAATGGACGAGGACGAGTGGACTGACAGAAACTTCGGGCAGGCGACGGCGACCGAAGAAGAAGAAATGAACATGGAGTTAGTGTCTCCTCCTATACGATTACAGTGTGATTCGCGCGAAAGCACGGCATTTGATTGAAAATCCTACTGAGTATTAAGAATAAATCACAAGTTTGAGGTTTTCTCCCCTCGACCATATCTAATATCTTTATCTTGTCCAATGAGGATGTAGGTGTACAGGAAAATCTGAAGAAACATCGTAGGACTAGTGATGAATGGAAAATTGTTTCCACTAAGTTATAGCATTAAAAAATGAATAAAATGTCTACGAGGATGAGGTTTTTAAAAATCGCGCGGTAGTGTGGCATCTCTCTTTCATTTGTGGGTGGGGTGTGTCCGACAAATTTTTTCTGGTCATACGTATTGTGTTACATTTTTAGATAACAAAAATGATCCCTTCTCCTCTAGCGATTCCGACTCGGAATTCAGTGACGAAGACGTCGAGCAGATGAATGCCGCAGATCAAATCGCGATCGAAGAAAGTATGGAAGAACCCCTGAGTGCGGATCGGACGCGAAAATTAGCCCAGTCTTGGCAGCGTCGCCATTCCGAACCTGACGTGCTCGAGGAGGAAGACGTTGACGAGGAGCATGAAGAGGAAGAAGAAGAGGAGGACGAGGTGGAAGAAGCGGTTGCGGAATCCGAAGAGGAAGTTGTGGAGAACCTCATCGAGGACGAAATTTTTGAGAAGCCTAAGGATAAACCTGGGACAGTCCAGGCGTTGCCGGTGACCACGGTTGACGAAGAGGACGATACGGCTACACCCGACGTTTGCAAAGTTCGTCCTGTTCATTGATCTGCGTTTTCACGTCCCATGCCTAATTCTTTGGTTGTTGATGTATTTGCTCTTGGTTTCGGTGGATTTCTGTTGGTCTCTCAGTGCTGCCAATTTTCCTGCCAACTCATGTAAAAATTGGGGGAAAGTTTAGGAGAAAAAGTTCGGTGCTGAAGTCGCTGGTGAAGGTGAAAAATACGGTTCACTTTTCTCTATTATGTGTCCATCTGTCTCAGCTTGACGCAACTTTTCTAACAACTCGCGAAGTTTTCTTGTGTTCATAGTTGTTCCGCGTTTCTAACAGGGAAGATGGCAACACTAAAGTTGTTCGTTGTGGACGTTGAGTGAAGTTTGAAAAAATTGTATTGGAGGAATGTCTGATTTCCACTGCCCTTTACTTTTTAAAATAGTTTTCTCCTTCATCCGATTCGTTTTCCGTAATTGATTTTTCATATTTTCTGCGGATACCAACGCATTTCTTAGCTTTCTTAAAATTGTATTCCATGAAATTTTATTCCAGAAAATGTTTATTTTGGCCTAGACTATGCCTTTTGATATTTGTGCATATTTGGGGAAGGCTTGAGTCAATATCTGTGGTGCCCTGTTGCCCCGAGNGGATACCAACGCATTTCTTAGCTTTCTTAAAATTGTATTCCATGAAATTTTATTCCAGAAAATGTTTATTTTGGCCTAGACTATGCCTTTTGATATTTGTGCATATTTGGGGAAGGCTTGAGTCAATATCTGTGGTGCCCTGTTGCCCCGAGACTTCTGTGATAATTGGGAAAGGCCATGACTTCGAAACTACGTGTGGATGTGTAATGGAATCTTTTCTCGTCCATTTTCCATGATCGGAAATTTTCAAGGTGAAACAAGTAAGAAAAGGCGTAATAATCTGAATAAGTTCTCTCGAACAATGTGATCATTTAAACTGTCCTGATTTTCCAATTTTACACCCTGTACGCAATAGTCGGAAGTACACGCGGAAATCATACACCCCTCGTATTGGACGTTTTTCTGTGTTCGGACTTGTGTGCTGTCAATTTCAAATTTTCTAATGGCTTGTGCGGTAGTTAAAGGTGTGGTGTCGTGAATGGTTTTATGTTTGATTTCTTGTGAGTTGTGTCATCTGTTCGACAAGGAGTCTACGAAGGGCGTGCGAGGTTAATGGTGAGAATGTCGCAGAATTAACGTTTTTCGAGCATGCTGTTTGTTCCAGTCTCCGAGTGCTTTTTAAATATTTTGCCAACATTTTTTGACCGCGTGTATCCATGTGATTGTAGAACAAACTATGTATTTATTTTTCTCAAAGGGCTTGAAGGATGATGGCAAAGAAGAATCGGCGTCTTCGTCGCTGTCGGAGACGTCCGGAACAAGCGGATCCGACGGCGATTCGAGCGACGACGAAGGCACAAGCACGGACATTGAAACCGATTCCGAGCTCGAGCGCAACACAGAGCAGCGTCAACGAACTCGGAGATTACGCGCCTTGCCCAAGGAACCCATTATACGGGTCCATTGTAAAATCAATGGCAATGACGCCGGTTCTTCGCAGAGCGGCAACGTGTCGAAATTTACCACGCCGTCCCCGCGACGCACTTCTGGGGACATTCGGACGGCCGTCGAAAAACGGAAGTCTCCTTCGCCTGAACACAAGCCCTTGGCGCCGTTGCCGCTCGAGTCCTTGGCCCCACGTCATTCTGCGAGTACTACTCAAATGCCGAGCTTGCTGAAGTTGCCGGTGTACGAGTCGTCGCGGTTGTCTGACCCAAGGAAGTATCCGACGTCGTCTTTCAAGCTCTTGTCCAGCGACAATATTCCGAATAGAATTTCTGCGGAGATTAAAAGAGAAGAAGCAGAGGAGAAAGACGAAAAAGAGCAAAAACTGGATGCGGAAAATTTGAACGGAATGGAAGAAGAAATGGATGCTGAGGTTGACGAAGAGGAGGAAGAAGATGAAGAGGATGATGTGGAAGACATCCTCAATCAAGCAATGAATGAATCGGACATGACAAACATGATCCCTGCTGACGATGATGACCCGAAACTGGCATCGCAAACCCTGGATGTGACGACAGCTGACGGGATTGACGAAGAGTTTGATAAGCTCATCGCCGAGGAAGAGAATCTCGATGTTGCAATTCAAAATTTTACATTCATCGTCGAAGGTGGAATTATCCCGGAAAAATGCGAGTCCTTGAAAGAGATCCCGGAAACGCAAGAGAAGTCTGAAATCGGCGACCTTGCTTCTCGTTTCGGCAACGACCTGGATTCGCTGGAATTCATGGACGCCAACTTATCTGTGGCTTCTCCGGTTCCGGTGCCGAAGGCTGAGTTTGAAGAAGATTTTTCCATTCGCGAGCCAATCATTGAAGCTGTGAATTTGCACGTCAACACTGTCATGATAACTTCCCCGATTTCTAGTCCGGAAACCGAAGGTCCTGACAGTCACACTAGTCTTAACAGCGACGAGATTCAAGAGCTTCGAGAGCAAGCCTCAAACAAAGACGTGAAACACACGTTGACGATTCAAGTTCCTTCCGAAGATGATGTGGAGTTGGACGAGAAGACCAACTGGTTTTCCAAGCAGAGTCCCTTTGGCTGCATTAGGGATTCGATTCACGTCCGGAAGTCAAATTTGAAACGCAGTCCTCCGAAAACGGGACCATCGCCTCCTCCGGAAATTTCTAAATCCGGTTTAAAAATGTTCTCGCTTCCTGTATCGTCGGCTATTCAAACATTAATGCAAGCAGGAACGACGAAACTTCGTGATGCCGTGCAATCTCCGATGAATCCCATGAACAATGCTGCAACTACTGTCACAGTGCCGCAAACGAAAGATGATATGGAGCCTGAAATTGTTACTCCGGAGTCAAGAGAACGAGAAGCTCTCGAGCGGGTCATCAAAGATCGCGAGAGACAAAAGAATCTTGTCCACGACCTGGTTTTGTCGAAGATCAAGAGCCCCGAGAACCGAAAAGATAAGAAGCTCAACAAGTCAAGTCCATCATTTATTAGCCAAGAATCCTTGTCTACTGAAATGACGGCGGCGAATTCTCCTGGGATGAAAGCCGTGGTGAGTGAGACGAATTTATCTCCGAGAAAGATCTCGGCACCGACGCCGTCGACGACGATCTCGCCTGACGAATTCTACACGCCGCTGACGAGCTTTCGTCCGTTGCGACGACCGCTGTCGATGGCAATTCCGGAGTCGGAAGTGTCGAGTGGACTCTTACCGGACACGCCTCTGACGAAGCCGGATGTTTTCACGCTGAAGTCGATCGGGAAGACGTTATTTTCTACTCCGGATCTAACGGAGTGGGGAGACCTGAGGAATCAGCGCACTGCGGAGCACGAGCGGGCGCGGCAAAGTATTCGGGATCAGTTGAAGGTGAGACTTCTTTTTTTTTATTTAAAAAATACAAACGTCACTTTATTCACGAGAAATTTTCGTTGGCAACAAATGAATTGCACAGTTTATCAATATTTTTTTTCGGTTGCGTTTGAGTGCATCTGACTGAAGTGATGATATGAGTATTTAAAGTCGAATGCTTTTTGTGTTGTTTGAAAATTGGACGCAAAAATCATAAAGGATCCCAAGGATTTCGTTTTGAGCTTTTGACAATGAAATATTTTGAATTAATTACTTCGCCTGCTTGAAGAGTAACTTGCCAATTCGAGGAAATCGTGGCAGGTTGAGTTCGATTGTACCGATTTTCCTGCTTCCAGAATTTTCATCTTGCGTTGAAACGAATTTTTCGTGTTCCAAGTTTTTTTTTTTAGATAGAGAAAAGGCTCGACTTGAAGTACTGTACTTTACTGCCGAGTGACGCAATGTATCCACACTCCGAGTCTAGATCAGTGCTGACCAACACATGTCCTCTCCGGCCAGATCTAATTCGCATCTTCATCTTTGCGCGGTTGCCAATATTCTAAATATATCTCTGAATATGAATTCATAAATCAAAATGTTGCCCCACACTTCCAAAAATTATATGCGTAAGGCCATCTTCTTGTGATTCAATACATTGAAAAGAAATGAATTCGAAACTTTTCATGTAAAGGGGAAAATTTGGAGCTTTAAATAGGATCGTCTATTGAGGCCTATGAGGAACTCTCTACCTCTGCAATGAGACCTTGGCCTTACAAAACGTACTAATGTGGCCACTGGCCATATCTGAGTTGGGCAGCACTGGTCTAGATCGTGGAGCTAATTTCCAGTTGACATCCGCGTGTTTTTGTTTCAAGGTCAAGTCGAATGTCGAGCTTGGTCTGAGTCCCCCGGGCTCGGTGGAAGGTTTCAAACTGAAGCGACGCAATGTAGACGACCCGAAACTGACGCAGTTGAAGGAAATGCAAGAAGATCGAATTTCAAAGCGTGAAATGCTGGAAAAAATGTCTGTTTTCACGCCCACTGGGATGGGGGCTCGTTCGTGTCCCACATCCCCGGAAAAATCAGCTGCTCGCCGTACCGCGGAATTCTCTCCGCCCAGTTCGAGAATATCTTCTCCGGATCCCTGCACTTCTGCCCCTGCGAGTTCCACGGACAAGAAGAAGAAATCCAAGGATCGCGAACGCCGGCGAAGTATCATCCAACTAGTCCAGGGTCTTTTCCATCGCTCTGCAGCGGAAAAGCAAGACAAGGAAAAGCACTCCGAACCCCCGACTCCGGACGAGCCTAAGGCTGCTTCCCCGCCTATACGTAGTCCTAAGCTAAAGGAACGCGCGTCTCCGTTCCGGCTCAAAAACAAAGAGAAGCAGAAGGAGAAGAAGAACAAGAAGAAGACATCAACCACTCCGCAATCTCCGTCCTCGCCGATTAATGAAGGCATGAAAGCATTGTCATTGGGGGAAAAGTCCCTGACGCCCGGAGAAGACGAGTCGAACGCGGATGACGATGACCCGCTGGCGTTGTTGAGCGGCAGCGGAACATTGACGCGGAGACAAGAGAAGTTGGCTAAGAGATTGTCGAGGCAAGCGGAGTTGAAGCGGCTGCGAATGGCGCAAGAGATCCAGCGACAGCTGGAAGAGTTGGAAGTGAAGCAGAAAGAGTTGGAGGAAAGGGGTGTTGCTGTCGAGAAAGCGCTCAGGGGAGAAGGAAATGGTGAGAAATGTATTCCTTTGTCGCATTATTTGGCATCTACTTTTCCATCGTGATGATAAACGTGTGAAATTATTGGTCGGCATCATGAGAAAATGTCGGTGAGAAATTTGAATCGATGCAAGTCTACTAAGAGATAATAAACTATCGATCCCCGTGTTTTCCCCAAGTGGATGACTCCTCCAGGATTGAGTCAGTTTGATTAGAAGTGAAAAGAATAAATTCTTTTCGAAATTAATTTCACGATTTTTACTATGATAATTGCATGATTTGCGTCACTGAAAAGTAGTGACTTGCGGCGTTCTGTAATTTTACGTAGAAAATATGATCAGGAGAGCTTAACATTATGTAGAAGCAAGATTGGCATTTTATTAGCATTTACTAAGCATTTAACAAACTTTTAGATTTGAGTTATTCTGTTTTGATTTATATTTTGGAATCTCTGGAGGTGATTTCTTCCTCTGTGGAAAATTTCCCTATGCGCTTTTCTTCTCGCCTTCATTTTTTTTTCTTTCGCCACGCCTTTTCTCTGACTTTTATCGATCATGGAAGATGGTTTGTGATCTTTTGGATAAATAAGTAGAAAAAAAACTTCAATCGGAAGACGCCAAGATCTGAACTCTTCCCTACATACTGTATTCGATATTCCTGACGCAAGCCTTACATTCCTGTCGGCACGTTCCCCGCCCTTCTTTAGAACACGCGACATTCGTGTCCTTCCATTTCCGTAAAAATGCAGTTTATTTAAAGAGAAGAAAAGGATTACTTTTCTGAGTAGTGGACGCGTATTTAATTTACCTGTATTTTAGCTGACGGTAATTCTATACGACGACGTCTTCTCCGGTTGATGCCCCCTATTTTTTCGTAGTACAGTACTGTACTCTATTATGAGCAGGATTTCATCTCATGTAATCAATTTGTTCTTTAGAGACGGACAACAACAAAGAGGAGACAGAATTGATGGGTGAGTGGTTCGCGTTGGTGCATGAAAAAACGCGACTGGGAAGATATGAGCAAGAGCTTTTGGTGAGAGCCAAGGAACTAGAGTTGGAAGACCGCCAGGCCAGATTGCAACAGGATCTCCGGGAACGACTCACTGTTGATGGTTCGTTGCTCTCTGTTGTTTCCTTTTTTTTAAGCATTTCAAAGGACCGGGTTTTTACATTCAGGAAAAGTTCCTCGTTTCTCAAGAACTTGAGGATTTTCATTTTTATTGGGAAGAGATTATTCAGGAAATTAGGGAGTCGCAATTTGCACAGAGTGCGCGGTAATTGCTTATTTTTGGTACAATTTGTTTCACTGAGAGCTTTGTTTCTTTATTCGCACTGAAGATGAACGGTATATGTGAGCACAGAAGGTTTGAGTTGTTGAATGATTCGGTTTTTTTGTTTCGCTTACTTTACTTTCATGAATCCCTGTTTTTCACGTTGACTGCATCTTGCTTACTTCCTCGCCTTCTGCTTCATATTTTTTTCTTCCTTCACTTCCACACCTTCCCCTTGCTTTTTTACTGGACCTGTAACGCAGATGAGATGAAAACTAAGGACGACATCGAAGCAGAGCGAGAGATCCTGAACGAGATGATGGAGATTGTGGAACAAAGGGATACTTTGTTGGACATGATGGAGGAGGACAGGCTGAGGTACAGGAGTTTGGGTCATGCGAAGACGAGCCTTGAAGCTGGGCCGTGTGTCCGGCCTAATGCCGGGTTCTGGGTCCTTGTTGCCTTGGGCGTGGTTGTGGTGTGCCTGTCGCATGTTCTTGCCCCTCTTCTTGTCCATGTCTCTCGCTGATCCTGTGTACAGTTTGATTTGCTCGTCGTTCGGTTTGTTCTTTCCGGATCAGCCCTTCCAACCTCATTTAGTTTTCTCTCTTCCTTTTATTTTATGTGAGATGTACGTCGGACATTTTCTTGGACTCAATTTTTCTCCAACGTGAATACTTGGAGGATCCTAGGGACTATTTTCGAGGGTATTGTCGAGATAATATTCTCTCGCGTCGTTTGTAATACTCTCTTGTACTTCCTAATTCGCATGTCAAGCTAAGGTAATCACAGTCGGCAGTTAGGTTTCAAATATTATGTTATTTTTTTTTCGGTTGACGACTACTCGGTTTAAAATCCAGACTGTATTTCCCGAGCATCGCCCATTTTATGAGAGAAGATGATCGTTGTAAATTATGTCTGGAAATTTAGAAGATGCGAGGGATGATTCGCATATGGAGTCCAGAAAGTTATTGTGTCCTACGAAGTTTGCAATGACATGAAATCCGCATAATTTTTCTTTACCTTTACTGTACTGCGTTTCCACTTCAGAGAAATTTTCTGGAATTTTAACTAAAATATCTTTTGTGCAACTTTACTTCTAATTAAACTTGCCTTGAATCATTTTTACTGCATGGTCACTTTTTGGACGACCCACATTTTAAAATACCGACGTTGTTGTATTGCAAATATAGTTGAGTCCTTTTTCTCCTGAGAATTTTTCTTCGCTAGTTGGGTAATGTTATGCTTCACGGTAGTTCACACTTCACTGAGTAGAAGTGAACTTTCTCATGCAACAAGATCATTGGGATCAGAAAAAAAAAGCCATCATGATGAAAAATTCGTTTGGAGAAAATTTCGAATAACGCTTTTGCATTGCAGTTGTGCTGGGACTTGCCTAAATTCACTGTAAGCAATAATTCGCTATGAAGAGATTCGTGGTGCAATAATCAAACAAAATTATACTGCATTAATGCACTGCAGCAATCTTTGAGATTTCCTTCTGATTCCAGGAAAAACTTCATTAATTTGTAATCATGTCCTATGCAATAATATTCTGCGCCTGACAAATTTTTTGGTTTCGTTTTCCCATAGTAGATAGAGTTCACATGTCTGAAATTATGTTTTGTGAAATGAGTTGAATTCGTAGCAGGGTTTCGTGATTTCTGACAGCAGTTTCCGTATTCAGATTGGACGTTTTTCCGAATGACGTTAGAGGTGGCTCGATCGTGGTTGATATTGGCTTTTAACTTTTGAATGGCCTTTAGGGCTGAATGATCTGGTTCCGATTTTTGTCTCGGGTGCTTCGCAAATTGTTCCTTATTCTCGTAAATTAATCGACTGAATCTGGGTGCAGGTACCGAGAGGAGGACAAGGACCTGGAGGCTGCAATGTTAGCGAAGGGGCTGCAACTAACGCCGATCAGGAAGGAGACGGGGGTCTGAGAAAACAAAAAAACATCTCTGCTTCAAATCCTCGCGTGCTCGGCAAACGAGTTTGCTCTAACACGCTTTGTTATATTTTTTTCTTTTTAACTAACGGTTTTTGCTGTGTTTTTTGGAGATAGTCTCGGTCTTTCTACTTCAAGTTTTTTTTTTTCGTTTTTTTTTTCACGCTTGCGATTCCTAGTCGAAAAGATACGAAGAAAACAGGAAATCTATGGGTGATTTGGCCGGAAGGACCAGAATTGTGCTTTTTCGCGTTGCGACCTCTGCTGAAGTCGGTATTTGTATCTACTTAGCCATTTAACGGCGAGCTTTTATTCGCTGATGCGACGAGTGCAGCTACTTGGCTGGATTTTAATTGCTGGTGAAAAAATTGGAATTTTCTGCGTGAACGGTAACTCATTTTACTAGACTACTTGCGAAGAATCGTGGCATTTTTAGCGAGAAATCCTGCATATTATATTTTGTCAAGTCGGTATTTAATTGTCGGAACCGCGTAGCGTATTGGACAACGATGATTTCTGTTAGTGCTGATGGGCCATCAAGCAGTTGGACTTCTAAGGAGTGTGGATCAATTTTTGTTTTATTCTCATATCGCGTGCAACGATGTGTGGAATTTTATTGTTTTCCGGTTTGTCTAATGTTTGAGACTATACGCGCGATGTGATACTGTGGTTTGGCGTCAATATCAATCCGTTTTATAATTGCGCCCTTTTTTTGAAAATTAAAGGTGAGAACAAAAAACTTTCTGCAAAGATTATGTCCTCTTTTTCTTCCCCGTCATTCCCAGGAAAAACGTAAGAATTCGATTTTAAAATCGGGATTCCTGTCGCTAATGGACTGAAAGTGCGAAAACATTTGGATTGAGGTGAAAGATGCCATTTTGAAATACTGTATTGTATTTATTAATTTAGATGAGAGGAATCTGATAGCTTTGTGAGATATTTTTGTTGCCTTGTGTTACTGAAGTTAAGTTAGCTAGGAAATCAGCAGAAGCATGATTTGAACCAGTGTTCGTTTTTTTTTCAACTCCAAATCAACATGCAAAATGCCTTGCAAACTTGTTTACGCATGTAACAAGGGATTGCACCTCATTTCGGGGACTTATTAATTAACATTAACAATCTCACTGTCCTACGCAAAATATGCCTCGCTGCAAAATTTGATAATAAACTTGACCATCGCGTGTCGGGTCTAGTGAGGAAGAATTTGTCATCAGGCCATCGCAGCTAGTGAACTTTACGATTGACCCTCAAAAGTGAAATGTTGACTTTCTCCCGTTCAGGTTCACAGGACAGTCAAAATGTGAATACACTATTATGTGAACCAGACTAATTGTGAAGATGTACTCAGTACTTTGCTGACCTCATCACGGCCTTCATCACCCCCAAGTGTTTAACGAGAGATAAATTTATCCGAAAATTCCTCTGCAAATTTAACTTAAAATATTTGCTGATTGGCATGGCCTTCAGCAGTCTGATATACTTAGTGTATATTACATAGAGCAGCTAGTATATACTGTACACTTCTACAGCATTTTGATGACGTCTAGTGACTCATCAACGCAAGCAAAGTAAAGGAGTGACATCTATATCAGTATGCACGCTTTGCTTGCACAGGATGTGCACAATATCAAATGGGGCTCATTACGTATGATTCTCGTCTGTTAGAAAATATAAATGAGCATGACATGAGCGAAGTATTATCGGATTTTATTGAAAGCCGCTTGCATCGGTCGTCATTGCTCCTCGATTCCCCCATAATATTTTCGTCGAAATCTTCCCGCTGAATCCTCGCTTCTTTTTTTTTTTCATTGCGAGACTCATCGTATAAGCTACAAAAAAAGGAAACGGAATCGAGTTTCCGACTGCGAAAAACGTTTTCTTGAAGCAACGATGCCGAATCCGGGGACACTGCTGAAAGCGCGCGCGGGGGGAGCACAGGGGTCTCAATATAGGGGGCTGGGGAACAAAATCACAGAATTTCCTTCAGTGTCGCGATTCTTCATCATCCATCATTTCCACCCCTCCCCCATATCTTCGTCAGCATCGTTCACTTTCAAACCGCGCGTTTGAGCATCGATATTCGAATACAAGACACAATTCCGGGAAAGAATATACTTCTCCTTCCCTCTTTTCCCCACGCGGAAAAAAAAAGAGAAACAAACAGCGTCTCGTCCATCCACGGCCGCATCATCCTCAACTTTGCTGAGAGCTCTTCCTCCCTGCTGTGATCGCATGTGGTCGATAAAAGATAGATGTCGACGTTGTCGGCCATCACTGACAAAGAACGGTTCTGCAGAGACTTTTTCAATCATTGCCCTCCATCTCTTGATGGTCTCTGCGTGCTCGGAGGCGTTTGCGAGATTTCTCCATGAGGGATCTCTTCATTCTAGGCAGTCACGTACAAGGTCGATCAGGACACCCCTTCTTATTCACAGCATCGCCTAGCTCGAGCTACATGATCAAAATAGAATAAAGTTTAATCAACGTCTGCTGATTCGTGAAAATGAATGAAGTAGTGGTATTATGCGCGCAAGAAAATTGCGGCTACGTGTACTCACTGTATACACTATACAGTATATATGCTGCATACTGAATATATGGTATAAATTTATTTATTCATAGAAAAAAAACAGCCAAAAACTACAGTACTGCTGAAGCATATGCTGTATGCAGCATCACTACTTCTGTAAATTTGAATCAATTTCTAAGCATTATCTCTAAGCAATATATATATACAGTAGTCATCTCTATATAATCAACAATTACAGAGACCAAAAAAAAGTTTACAGAAAAAAAAGTTATGTTCTTCATGGTGTATAAAGAACCCCATACAGAATTATACATATACGGCATATACAAGCGTAATACATAACGTTTTCTCAGAGCGATCGGGTGCGTACTTTTCGAATTCCTGTCGTTTTGCTGAACTTATTTTTACTCACGAAAACACATTTTCGAACAGCGTCAGAAATAATGAAACATGGCTATTGAAGGAATATTACGGAATGATACGAGCGTTAAAACGAGGAATAATGCATTTCAGCTCGTGAATTTTCGAAAACAAGTATATACTGTAATACATTATAATGCATAGAAAAACCATCAGGACATTTTCCATATTAGATGATGCAAACGAATATTTTCCAAAAATTGCTGAACATTTTATATATAGCAGTATATTTTGGAAATCTTACAATACTCGCTTTCGCAGAATAAGAGACCTTCATAGCCGAACTAAGTCCGTCGTATCGGTGCAATATGCAGCATAAAATACACTTAACACTGTTACAGCATCTCAACATGGCACATTTTAGGCACCACGGAATCACATGACCTTTACTTTACGGCGCGGGTCACAAATGAGCTTCATTATTGAAAACTATAAAATCGACATTATTTCAAAATAGAATGTACCGTCAACGTTTCTTGATTAGGTTGAACAGAAGTACAAAACGCATCATAAAAGCAGTACTCACGATCAACGGACCAGGTGCTGACACATTCAGCGCCACACGCAGTTCCGTATTTCGATGCTCCACACAACCATGGGTGCACGCACAGCCCTTTGATGCAGCAGCAGTGGGATATGGATGTCTCTCATCTCACGTGGTTCGAACGACTCAATCTAGATGGCAGCAGACGCGCGATGATGATGATGATGATGATGACGATGGCGACCATGACAGTTTGACGGGGATTGGCCAGCCGGGAGCAACAAACGGATGACGGTCAAAAGTTCTCGATCATCCGGTAGATGCCGGTGTAGCCGCAGAGTCGGGCTCGGAGGGCGGGCAGGAGCTGCGCCGCCTGGACGAAGTTTTCCAACAGGTTTGAGCACTCCACAAACAACAGGTACACGACGCTCCCGCGCGCACCCGAAGACTTGAGCAGCGAGATCCGCTTGAGGCCCACACACTTGGGCAGGGACCGGTACAGGGCTCTAGCACCTGCAAAACACACAGCTCTTACAGTACAGTACTGTATTGTAAAAATATACCACCCCTGTTATCAGCATTGAAACTGATATACAGTACAGGACTCTCACACTGCAAATGGAATCAGCAGAAACGGGACAGTAAAAATCCTGGCAAATAATGCAGCAAGTTCAGTTCAAAATATTTTTTGATACAGAAAGATTGAGTTGGTAGTAAATCCATCTACAGTTGAACCTTGATAACTCAATTTCCCTAAGTCGAATTTGTTCCTTTTTTTTTTTGCTACAAGAGGATTAAGTTGGTAAATCCATCTACAGTTGAAACTAAATAACTGAAACCTCCTTCAGTCATATTTATTTCAAGTCTCTGCCTGAATCCCCTTAAAACCTATCCATTAAAAAACTTCCCCAACTGGAATGCTTTTCTTCCAAAACCTCCATAACTCAAATTTTCTGTTTTAGACCTCTTGTCCATTCATTTCTTGACACAGGAAAGAGAAGAGCAATAAAAAATTAACTTGATGTATTTTGAAAGGAAGTGAAAGACTAATTGGACAAATGAACCCATGCCTCAAAGTTCAGCATCCTGTCAACTCATCTATCAAGCAATTTGAGGCCCAGAATATTACTCATTCACAATATCTGGCAATTCTTATATTTTTCCCCAAATAAAAATGCATTTTCTCTAACTCAAAATCTCCTTACGTTGTATTTTGAGAGAGCAGCAAACAAATCGAATTAGAGAGGTTTGACTGTATTACAAACCACACAATGTCTTTTTCACAATGAAACCATTAATTTGGACAAAAAAGAAAAGCTTCAATGAGACAAAACATGTGATGAGGTAATTATAAAAGAATTTTGGTCTACACCATCTAAAAGCACATTTTTTTGGAAGCAATAATTTGTTATAATGATATTTGTTGTAACAAGATAATACTTTGAAATAAAGTTGTGCCAGAAAAAATAATCCACCAGTGCAGTATTTTAACTGGTATAAGACTTCTATATAAGCAGTGAAAACGGAGAGGTATAGACTCTATACAAGAACCTTGCTTCAGTTGCTTACAAAAAATTTCTCTGCATACTGTATAATAATTTTCTTCTGGTTTTATAGGGTTCTCTAACTATTAAATAGAGTTTTCTAAAACTTGATTATTTCTACAAAAAATTGCCTGGTACACTGCATTTTTTTAGAGCCCATAGTGAAGTCTGCGAAGCAAGGTTGGTAAAAAATATTTTGGTTCAGAATTGGTTGGTAGAGTACAGTAAACTATTATTGGGTAAGTTTGTTAACAACCATGCTGGGTCAACAAAACTTTTTTAAATAAAAAATATGTGGTAAATTTTATTTCTGAAAAAGATTACTTTTGTACGACTTCCAACAATCGACATTTTTGAGAAAGGTACACTTGATTTAGGGATGCAAATTTAATCATAAATTTGATTATGTCTAAGCATTATGCTTTCAATTTTACCTTTTTATGCAACATTCGGGGTATGTCTGTCAATATGTCAGTACGGCACTGACGGTGTGAAGCTAAACGTTTCACAATTATGCATCATTCATGGCAACACAGTTTGAAGACTTTTTCATGACTGTCAAATTCGTCATGTAAAAAATAAATCGGAAATACATCAACATGAAAATCTAATATATTCCTCACTTATGCATGCTAAAATCAATTCAAATTTAATTCGAGCTTATTTCAATAAGCGCTTTTGCATATATAATTTATAATATTCGGGATGAAACCAGCAGTTACTATTTGATATCAGCTTCAAATCAACCTACTAGCTGACATAAATTCCATTCTGTACAGCAAGAACACGGTCTTGAAACTCCATCTCTTTCGTCATTCCCGGGGCGAATTTTATGCCCACATAGCACCAAGTACCAGTGAGTCAGGAAATGTCGGGATTGGAGAAGACGTACGTGTTCCAAACAGCAGTGCACATACACAAAATATTTCAAAAGGACTTTCCCCCAGTTATTCGCAGAAGCGCATTATTGCCTCTATGCGGAATACGACCACACATTTCTACGCTGCACAATAATAACGCGAACTTTCTTTTTTTCTCAAACCTTTTTTTTTCTTTTGATGAAAAATCAGAGAGAAATTACGTAGCACAACAACATCACGTGTACCATACGAATTTCCTCGAATAACCCAGTTTGCTTGGAAACGTATATTTGACCTCCATCTTCACTCATGACAGCTATGGAGCATGAGTTGCTTCCTCTTGATCAAGAAGACGCGTTGCTATCGACTATAATGTATATATTAAAAAAGGATTCAACTAAAATTCTGGGAGTTGACTACAGTCGGTATATAAATAAACATTGATTTGGTGCTGTAGCAACGTTTGAAGCGCTGATAAAAGTTAATTATCGTTTTTAATTTGGTTCACCGCTGATGAAGCGAAATTTAGGGACCATTTTCGGAATTATGCCACAAAAAATGTCATCATAAAAGTTTTTAAAGATAGAATTGAAGCTACTCTAACTTGGAAGTTTTTCAATTGAATAACCGGAGTAGTCGTGATATTCGTGAATCATTAATAAACCAACCGTTCATTCGGAAATACTGTACTATATTTATAATAATAATAAATAACATTCCGCGTTGAGAAACATTCTCCATCGCTGTTATCCCAGCTTCTTTATAAATAATAGTTTGATTGACAAATAATTAACGATTTTGGAAAGGTACGTAAATCTTTTATTCATAGACGATGTCGGCTGAATTTTCATTGAAAGTTCCAAGAGTATATCCTCGAAAGAGCAAGACTTCCGACAGCGCCAAGGAACTGCAGTAATTTCAAAAATGCAAATGCACAGAAACAGCAAGTTCGTAAAAACTTCTCAGAGAAGTAAGTAGAAAAAGAAAACTGCACAAAATACGCACGAAGAATGGCTGAATTATTATTTAAATGATCCACTTGAAAAGTTGGGCGCAACTCCGAAAACTTTTTGCAGAAAACCGTCGTATTCTCTCACATCAACATTTCCCGAGAAAATTGCGCTGCGATTCCGTGTTGCACAGTGAAAGAACCCGATGAAGGCGGATCTCAAACAACATTTGGAAGTTTTCTCTCAGCAGGGCAACGATCGTCATATGGGTTACGTGAGGAGAAAGAAAGAATTTAGCCGACATTCCTTCGGGATCCCGTACAATATTACACGAAATGAAAGAAATGTTGTCTATCTGGACTGATTCCGAGAATTACTTTTGAACTGATACTGGTCAAACTTTGTTATGAGAAATGCGGCTAAATAAAATTATCTATCAAAAACATGTTTTGAAGATCCCCGCAGAAACACCGTATTCATAATATCGTTATGGCGTATTTTTAGGATTCATTGGGATACAGGTAAATGGATTCTCTGGCGGTTTCCTTCTTTACAAATTTCTAAATATTGTCAGGTTTGCACGCAATTTATTTTCCTCCCCCTGAAGTGTGTAATTCGGGATCAATACTTGATACAGTAAAATAATCACAGAAGAGTTAATACATTACTCGAAAGAAAAACGTAGATTATAGTTCGATGAAAACCTTGCGGGTAGACGCTTCCATTTAAAAACAATTTTAGTTATTTATTTTTTAAGGTAACGTTTGATTTTTATTTTAAATTTTTTTGATACACAGTACTTTATTTTGGTGGAAAACTTCAATATCGTGCTCGATATTGTTTGATACGGCCAGGAGAAACTCACAGCCAGATATATCTTTATAATTTCAAGAAATAATCAAAATTTTGTTCATTGATCTTGTTATACGTATGATAATGCATTTAAAAACCCAGTAAGATCTTGTAAAAATAACCATTGGGACCAGGATAAACAAGTTTTTATCAAAATAATCGTGATCAAAGACTTTAAAAAAAACATCGGGTTGCTGCTTAGCAGGGACCTGAAAAACGATTTTTTTTTGCCATTAATACGGTAATACAATACGATACTGTACATCGCGGTTCATTCTAACGAGATTCTACCATATAAACCTGTTTTGGGTTAACCTGGAAGGTAATTATTACGATGTTTCACCATATTTTGCATCTAAAATGAATATCATGGGAGTCAAATGATGCGTAAAACTTGGGGCACAAAGTAATGTTTCCAAGAAACCCGAATTCATTACAGTACAACAGTAAAACAAAAACAAAAAAACAGAATGCAACAATTTTGTTCTGCTTCTTCAATTTCCGCTCAATTTGCACGTTTGACCCTGCGCTGAATTGCCCTCAGAAGCGTTTGACCAGGCAACCTTTTCATTCAGTGCGGGGGGGAAGTAGCCTGCAAAATAAGCGTGGGAGCAGCACCATGCAAATCGCAATCGCGCGTGAGCAGAAATCATTATTCGGGTCATGGGGAATTGCTTTCGGTATCTGCTGCAGCGGATCTTTCTCGCTCTCTGATCCTCAGTCGTGTGGGAAGCTTTCCAGCCTGGGCATTCCCCATTTCTGGGGAAAAACCCGGATCGGGAAGCACGGGTTTCCAAATACTGTACCACACACACATACACACACACCATTATTCCTCCAACATCTGTATCATCTATTGCAAACCAGAAAGCGGATTTCCCTGTTTTTTTATACTTGACAAAACGTAGTACAGATAAAAATGGTTTTAAAAAATCTAAATCTGAAATTGAGTCATTTCAGGATACGTTAGATTGGACCTGATTCAGTTGTTGCCCAATGAATATACAAGGTTGTAAAAAACAATATACTGATACTGTACAGATACTTTCTTGAACAACAATAAATGCATAGAGAGTTTGGAATAAAGGAAGCTTTTGGTTTCCCAGATGATGCTGACAATGCTGTACTTTATTGTTCAACTCTCCGGGTGCAATTATCACAAAAATGGTTGAAACTCACGCATTGGCAGGTATGATATTCAATTTAGTGCAGTCATCAGATTTCGTAACACTAACCCGGGGATAGACCGCGTCATATAGCACTCATTTTAATTTAATGATGAATATACAGTACATTAGTTGATAAAA